GCAAACAAATTAAACCAATACCATCAACCACATTTCATATATAACCCCATTAACAAAAAAAAAAAAAAAAAAAAAGAGCATGCATAAACCTTATATGCAAAAAAAAAAAAAAAACACATACCTTGCTTCAATTAAGGACAAATGGTAAGATTCTCTGAAAAAATTCGAACTTTGATGCAGATCGTCTTGCACAAACCAAATTCCACTCCACGTAATTCACGAACAAAAACCCTCAAACCTTCCTCAATTTTCCCTCAAAATGTGTTTAATCCCCACTACTAATTACATAAAAATACCCAGAACAATTGTTTTATAAAACCCAAACTTTTAAAGCTCGAAAAAATTGAGACTCAACCTTCGATTTTCTTCAGAACGTTCATCAATGTCGCGCAAGTTATGAAGAATGAAGGCTGATCGTTTGAAGTCAAGGAAACAAAATGATTTGACATTTGTGGTTGGGGGTAATTAAATGGGGGTATTTTAGGAACTTCCAGGTTTTTTTTTATTATAATGATTAACCATGGCTAACCAAAGGCTTATTACATGGATTAAGGTTACCATTGACTTAACTTTTTAAAACATAGTCTACCAAGGATATTTACTTTTTTTAATTTTACCACTGAGAATTTTAAATAATAGAGGTCTACCAAAAAGAATTTCCCTTAATTATTTCAATTTGATTTTTTTTTTTATTGAAGTTACTAACAGTTTATTTATGATGTAGCAATTTAAAGGAACGCGCAGAATGTGAGTAATTAATTAATTTAATTACTCTTATTTTATTTTTATATTGCTAGCATCATGATTAGGTTATTATTATTATTTGATTTGACTAACACTATTATTGTTGAATTGCTTCCAATATTAAGGTTTATTCTATTGTTATTATGATCACCATATTGCATGTTTAAAGGGAATATGTAATTGAAAATCACGCCTAATAAGATAATTTAGACAACCGGTTTAGGATCCTTTTTAATCTTGTTGTTTAATCAAGTGATCACAAATATTTTAGAATTATATTTTGCATTAATATTAAACCAATTTAGCATAATAATAGTTTGGAGCGAATTGAATCTTTGTTTGTATGCCTTAGAGATCGCAGGAATCACTTTTCACTATAAGAATCGAGTAGAGGCCAATACGGGCGAATGTGACTCCATGACTCACTTCGTACTATCATCCCCGATCCTCCTTTCGTGGTTCCGAACCATATGGAGTTAGTAATATCATGGATTATGAATGGGGTGTAACCTTCACGGGTCAATCGTTGTTGCCTATCGTTGGCCCTTTATCGTGGTTGCCTTTTATGATCCGTGAACGGTTTACAAGTTCCTTAAAAACTTGTTGGTGGATCCCTACTTTTTTCCTTGTCCCTAATCATATAATGTCAATTTCCACTTCCTATGAGTACCAAGCATATTCACAACTTGCTTTAAAGTAGGCGTACTTTGAACGACGCATACTCTGCTGTTCCATTTCTGATCCTGAAATCTGGATCCAGGCTTCACAGTTCCAGTCTTGTGTGTTTGTGGTGCCACTTTGGATAGCCAACAACAGTCCAACACTTATATTGAGAATGACCCTTTCCCCCACAAGAACTACATTCAATCACTCTATCAATGTTGTTCATCTGACTGACTTTGGTGTTTTCAGAACTAGTGTGCACCACAGCACCACCACGACTATACATAGCTGACAAAGTGGATTCCAATTCAGACACATTCAATACCTCTCTTTGACTCTCCTCTTGTTGCAGCATAGAACATGCAGATTCAACAATTGGTAGAGGTGTCAACATGAGAAGCTGAGGTCTCATAGCACTAAAAACATCATCCAATCCATTCAAGAACTGAAACAACCTATTTTCTTCTTGATATTTTGAGATAGTAGTCAACAGATTTCTAATATCAGCAGAAGTATCATATACAGCAGGCAAAGCATTCATTAAGTCTATTTCTTCCCACAGACTGGTCATACTAGTATAATAGCCATTTTATAGAACTGTTATTTTGCCTTAAATTGTAGAGATCTCTATTCAACTTATACTTTCTAGACCCATTTGACATAGAAAACCTTTTTTCAAGTTGCACCCAAGTTTCTCTAACACTATTAACATACAAGACAGATTTTTTAATAGTATCAGATAAACAAGCATGGATCCAAGTGATTACCATTGAGTTACAGGTATCCCATTGATCTGCTTTGATGGGGTCTTGAGCAAAGGTAGATCTCAGAACAGTTCCTAGAACAAACCCAATCTTTTTCTTTGCTGTGAGAGCTATTTCCATGGATCTTCTCCAAGATCTGTAGTCTGCTGCTCTAGTGAGTTTATCAACACTTAATGTGTAAGATCCATCGTTTGGATGCAGATAGAAAGGACTGTTTGCATCAGCTGCCATTACCTGTTACAGAGAAAGAAAAAAAGAAGAAGGAAAGAAAATTTGATGAAGAACTTCAGCAGAGATACAAAGTATTCAAATGAGAAAGCTATTCCAAGTCTGCTATTCTTAGTCCCGATTTTGCACAACCTTGCTCTGATACCATAAAGAGTAAAATAAGATCGATTGTGCAAGAGGACAGAGGAGAATGCAAGGGCAGAATATCAGCAGAGGGAATGTTAAGTCATTTCTCATTGATTAGCAGAAGAGCAGTACAGTCTGCTTATGTACACCCAAAAACAAAAAAAGAGAATATCCTTACACTGAAAACAAAATAACAGCTATAAGGAACCTTCCTAGCAATTACAGGACAATACAAAAAGGCATAAAAATATCTAGCTAATCATTGCTGTATAACGGCTTTGATACTCTTGAGAAAATGCCTGTAATATCCTTTATTATATTTAAGATTATCTAATTATTATTTCATAGTATTTATTTTGGTTTTTTTTGTGATTTTTAGGAGGAGAATTTGTAGAAAACGCTAAACACTTAGAATTTATAACTTGTGGTTTTCTCAAGTATACTCAAGGCAGGGTTAATATTAAGCTAAACACTTAGAATTGATAGTTTCATATTATATCTTATACCCTAGCTATTATAGCTAACTAGCTAACTTCCCTTACAATATTACAACAAAAATTAATAATAATAAAAAATGATTGTGAAGGAATCATGGATGATATCGGATTCTATGAAAGCTGTCTGCCTTTCAAGTTTGACGGATTAATAGAGTGGACCGCAAAATTAATTTTAAAATAAATAAATTTAAGGAGTAAGAAAGTAGCATCCCATGATCCAAGAAGCCCATGATCCGAGAAATCCCATTCTAAGCAATGCATTTAGAAAAATGGAAACATTCCTTGTTATTGTTATTACGATCTTGCTAACGAGCGTCCTGGGGCTTTAGATAAGGATAAATTATATTGGTTGAAATGATATTAAGTTAGGAATTCATGACAAAATCACGCGTCGTTCGGTGTAATTAATGTTAATTTTACTCTAATATTTGCACTTTAATTCTCTTATCTAACACCCCCGGGGCGCTCATTAGCTTTTGCCTAGTTATTATGGACCGAAGCACTAGCATTAAGTAAGCTCTCTATGCACACGTGAGTTCCCTCCATAAATTTTCTCACTCTTTTCATTCAATATCTTCTTAAAGGTTTTACTCTTATTAATGTTCAAAAGATAAAGTTTTAGAGTACACTTAGAGGTACTCGTGTGCAATTTATGGGATTTGCACAACTAGGATGTTTTGATAGTATGATTAGGTGCATATGTATGAATGTATGATTATTAGCAAGAGTTACTCAACGATTAGACCTAATCAAACTTGAAATTTATAGCTGACCGATCTGATAATGAAATTTGCCTTAATATGAATTGTGTATTGACTCGTTAAATAAACCTATGTTGAACAATTGGTTGTCCATATAAAGTTATTGTGCTAAGTCATTGTTATGAGTAGAACGAATTATCCACTTTCTGTATCCACTATTCCAAATCTTCCGAACTAGTACGTTTTTTCTTTGAGAGAGAAATAATCAACGAAATAAATATGCGTTATAACACGTATCACACCTTTCGATCAAAAATAGATGGTGTCTTTTATTTTTATTAATTTATATATATTTATATAGTTCACTTTATACAATCAAACTTTTTTGTATTGTAAAATAATGATAAATTTTATACAAAGTACTTCATACAAAAAATCTATAGCCTCCAATATACATATATTTTCAATAATACACTCCATTGCATCAACTTTTTCAATTAACTATCAATAAAATAAATCACACTATTAAATTTTACGTAAAGTTTCGAAAAAAAGTCATCTGTATAAACACTTTTTCTGATATAGGCGGAATATTAACGAAACCACCTTCATTAACATATTTGGAAACCACTTCCACTTTGAATCTTAATTAGATTCAATATAGAAGAGCTAGTAGCTTTTGTAATGATTTGAGGAGACCTATTTGTGTTTCCCCCTTAACCATTTTGTCAAAAAATAAAAATAAAATTAAGATCCACAAGTACCAATGTTACCTCCACTTCACTCACATTTAGCAAGCAAAAATGGATGATGACCCCCCAAAATCTATCAATCACATGGAAAAACTTAAACTAAGCACCATATCCTACGTACATTCCCTGGGATTAGAGCCCTTAAACTACACACAAGCGCTTGTACTCATACATTACCACATTCATTAATCATTATTTTATACCCTTTTGAACAATTTTAAGCCTCCAAAGTTGTCTGCTCTCTTAAGGAAAACCTGAGTAACCCCAAGGCATTAGCATCCCACGTTACCTTCATCTTCACCAATCATATCATGCCACGTGTCTCGAACGCCAACACGCCGTAATATTCTAAGGGAGCTGTTAGTGGCCGTCCTTCTAACGGCCAGCCCAATACTCTAAATCATGTGCATCACAAAATTTGTTTTGCTTCTTCCCATATAAGTTAAGTTACTACTAACATTATGTTCAACACTATCACATACATAAGGTGCATTTTTCTTGTACTTTTTATTAGTACAAATTTAAATGGGTTTTCCTAGCTATATTTTAGCTAATGTTGTAGATAGTGATTTAGTTATGGAAAGAGGATGGAGGGATATGGCACCTACATGTCCTAGGTGTGGTTCATCTAACACCAAATTTTGTTACTACAACAATTATAGCCTTACACAACCTAGGTATTTTTGCAAAGGTTGTAGAAGGTATTGGACTAAAGGTGGGTCCCTTCGGAACGTTCCCGTCGGTGGTGGTTGCCGGAAGAGCCGGAGGTCTCGGTCGACAACCCTAAGACTAACTCATCCATCCTCAAACCATCATGGGCTCACATCTAGGAATAACAACACCATGTTTGGTAGTCATCACAATCAACATCATCATAGTCAAGATCAACTTGGTGGTGGACATGTTTCTTATGGTAACTTGAATAACAACATGGTTGATTCCACCACCTCGCCAACGGATTCCGAGGCTCCTCCGATCGACCTTGCGGTTGTTTACGCCAACTTCTTGACGCAAAAACCCGAAAATAGTAACGAAATACCCCCTAATGGTGGCTACAATAATCCACCATTAGTTGATGAGTTGTCTAGCATACCGGATGCTACTACTATTGCTCCTTCACAAGTTGTGTTACAAGTCCAACAAGAACACTCAACTTTCTCTCAACCACTTCCCATTATACCAGAATTAATGATGAACAATCATCATCATCATCATAACAATAATAATCAAGTTTTATTTGTAACAGATTTTAGTAGACCAATTCATCATCATGAACATGATGATGTATCCATTCAACATGATGAACTAGGCCTACCGCCATTGCCTGGCGACACGTTATTATTACAAGATCATCATCAACATCACCATCATCATCATCATCAACCAGTGTCGTGGGAAGGTTCGGATTTGAATGAACATCAGCATCACCAACTACAACATCAGCATCAACATAGTAATCGCGAAGATGGTAATGATTTGGAAGTGCCAATAAGGCTACAAGACTTGGAGACAGATTCACAATTTTCAAACTTATTGTTCAATAACGGGAGTTGGAGTCCACTTGATAATTTACCAGGTTTTGAAACTTCATCTTCTTCTTCAAAGCCTTAAAAAAGAGGCTAAGTTTGGTTGGGATGATTAAATATTTTCTTGGCTTTGCTCACATTTATATATTGCTCATCTCTTGTGAGTTGAAAATGTGAATAAGCTTGTGAATTTTGTTTGGTTTCATGCATTCATATATAGAGTTTCAGTATATATTATATATGATTATAAATGTATAGAAAGGTTAATTGATTGTCATGAATAATGTGTATGATAATAAATAATCAAAAGTGTAATGAATATATATAGATATTTATTATTATATGGTTTTTAGAGATTATACAGTTGGATGGAGAAATGGCAAATAGATGCATAGCTAATTCAATTAGCTATCATACAATATGTATAATTTTTCATATCTTTTGTAAGGAGAAAGATCCTACTGAATTAACATATCTCACAGGTCAATCAGTCTAGCTACACAAGTCAATACTTGAGAATATGGAGAAAGGTAAGGATATCCTCCACTTTCAAACACAAGTAGATGGTAAGGCTCCGTCAAACTTGTGAAGGCGAGTTCAATTTTTCATTATGATGTATTAAGAGCTATAGTTGTAATTATCATCTGAATAGTATGAACTTGATGCCATGTTTTGAATATCATATTATCATATTCAGTGGCGGATCTTGGCCGAAAATATTATAGGGGTCAGGATTTAAATATTTTACTTCTTGTTCAAAACTGATCACTATACTCCAATATTTTATAAGTAAATATAGGTTAGTTAAGTTCATTAACTAATTAATTATAATAATTTACGGGGGACCTATCCTCGAATCACCTCGGTGGAAGGTGCCCTCTGATCATATCATCCCTATAACTTTCCAAACTAATTAAGCCATCCAAACCAGTAATATCATATAATTAGAGCTTGGAGGTTTTTTTACAAAACCCCTTCTCTCTATTACAAGCTTAATTAATTAAGATAAAACAAATTGAAATTGTCAAATTAAAATCTACATTAATTAATTATGATCTAGCTTGGACAATCCTAGTTAAAATTGTCTGTAAGATTGGTTGCGATAAGATTTTATTATAGTTTTATAAGGAGAAGGCTTTTATATAGTTTCATTTGATTATGATATAAACCAAAGTTAAAGAGAAAACTTATTCATTATACTAATGAATAATATTATATCCCAATGATTTGACCATGCATGAACTCGTGGATAATGAGTCCATGCATAGAATCTATCTGTTTCGAGTTGGAATCTTCAAAAGCATGTAACATTAACTATATTACAGTTTGAATATTTCCCTATGATCCCTAGCTAATAGTATTATAAGGCTACATAATTGATTTCTATTGTTAATCAAATATTGTTTGTAGCCATTTTAGGTTATTATATGTCAATAAATTTTATCACTATAGTTATGAATTATTAGTGTTGAACTTGTACAGTGGTTTACAAATTTGTATGAGTTGGAAATCTCGTTGGAAATCAAGAATTTAACTAGGGTGGTTTAATTAGGTTGGAACTTATTTATAAATACCTAGTATATATTGTTTTTATTCGAAAATGAACAATTTTTTTTTAAGACATTAAGGCATGGTATGTCATCTCACCTTTCCTTAGAATATATATTAGCCTCATATGAGTCATATCTTACAGTTTTAAGGTATGGGTATTGTTTATGCTAATTTTTGTTAAGTGGGATTGAATATCAATCTAGGCTACGGATCAACTAAGCAAAATCAAAAGTAAAACACGACAAAAAAGAGAATAAATGACACGAGGAATTGGTGACTCAGAAAACCCAATGAAGGTAAAAACCGCTGGTAGAATGAGGATCTACCAAACTTTCACTATGCAAAAAATATTGATATCAGTTTACAAGATGTGATGTAGTGCGTATATTGTTGGATGTGAATGTGCCTTACTCGTCGTTGCCCTGCCCTTTATATAGATGGTTGCTAGGTTAAACTCTAGCCGTTGCAAGGAGCTAGAATCGTGCCCACGATTTTTGGACTTCAGTTGCTGAACATATTCCTCTTCTGTTTTGAATTCCAACGGACTGATCTAGCTAAGTTTGGACTAAGTATCTACTTATCTTCTTCCTAAAATATAGGGAGTTGTTACTTGACTTCGTCTTCCGTCAATGCTGATGGTGCGTCGTCGAGCTTGCGCCTTCGTCAAGAGGAGTCTTCGTCATTGACCTTCATTGACTGTCGTTGACTAACCCTTGCAGATTTTTACCCATAACAGGTATAAAAAAAAAATTCAAAAGCAAACACTAGATAAAATTTTTTAGCATTCCACTCAGAGTAATGCCAACTAAACCTAATGGAATTATTTAAAGCGGTCATGTTCTTGAAAAATCAAATACTACTTTCGTTAATTGTTGTATGCAATTTAGAAATTTTTTTAATCTCATAAATAATATGTAAAAATTGTAAGTAACAAAAAAAACCACCTTTTATAAACAATTTTTTTCAAGAAACCACCTTATAAAATTTTATTTTTGCAAAGACACACCTTAATCTCTGTTTTTTTTTTTTTTTTTTTTTTTTGCAAATCAATATGTACCTTTATGCCGTAAATTGAGGTTTGACCCCATTTTCCGGCATTGACTACCCCAATCCAGCCACAAAACCACCTCTCTCCCCAACCCCACCCACGAAACCACCTCTCTCCCCAACTCCACCCACATAACCACCCTTTTACAGCATTGACCAACCTAAACACACCCCTTTAACGGCTGAACACCCTAAACACACCCCTTTAACGACGTTGACCACCCTAAACCCTCCTCTAAAGCCCTAGCCACCCTTCTCCCCTCCACTGTCAGCGCTGACACCCCTAGCCGCACTTCCCCAACCCTAAATTAACACTTAACCACCCTAAATTCAGATTTCGCGAGGTGGTGGAAAGAAGGGAGTTTGATTTAGTTGGTGGGGATGAGGAGGGAGGTGGTTTCGTGGGTGGAGGGAAGGAGGGGGTTATTTCGTGAATTGGGCTGGGGAAGGGGAGGTTTCGTGGGTGGGGTTGGGTAGTCAACGTCAGAAAATAGGGTTTGACCCCATTTTTCGACATAAAGGTATGGTTTTGCAAAAAAAAAATTGATTAAGGTGTGTTTTTGCAAATTTTAAAAAAAATTATAAGGTGGTTTATTGCAAAAAAAAATTGTTTATAAAAGGTGTGTTTTTGCAAAAAAAAAAAATTAAAAAAATATATATATATATATATATATATATATATATATATATATATATATATATATATATATAAAGTTGTAGTTAATTTTAAAACAATAAACATGCTTTGTATACAACAGTACAACACTAATTGATTGAATTTTAAAATTTCAGAGAACCCTGACATTATAACCGGCTACTTGGGTAGCTAACATTCAAACAATAAACATGCTTTGTATAGAATATACAATATGAGACGAATCCAACAACACAATTCAATACTTTCTATTATTGATTAATGAAACTTTGTAGACAAAGTTTTTGAAGTTTGACCCAACTATTTCCAATGGGGCAATTAAAAAAATAAGGACAAAGGGATTATCAACTACTAGTCGATCGACATTTACCCGTTGCTTCGACAGCTACCAACTTCTCAACATATAAACAGCGGCGAAGCCAGGATTTGGAACTTACGGGGCCCGAATTCTGTATAGTTTAGTTCCAGATTTGACCCCAGTTAAATACTTGATTTGTAATCTCCTAATGAGGACTTTTTACATTCGGTTAGGCTCGGACTCAAAACTATTTATATTATCAATTAGCAGTGATTATTACTTACAAAACAAACCGATGTATGGTTGGTGTGATAATATTTTGATAATTTAGTAGAATTACAATGCATTTTATTTTTTTGATAGAGGAAAGACCATTAAAAAAACATTGAAGAGGAAAAAAAGACAATATTGGAAGAACAAAAAACAAATTTAAGCGTGAGAAGAACCCAAAGAAAAACTCGTTACTTTGAGTGTGAGGAAAGAGGCTTTTTTATTTTTATTTTTACTATTAGATTAAACATTGGCCTAAAAAATTAAACCAAAAATTATTGTTGAGGGGAGTCGAACCTCAGAGGCTCAGACCAAACATACTTGACACAAGGATATATGTTAACTACTAATTAAGCCAAGAAAATATCATTAACAAATGAGTTAGTTAATTTGTATATATTGTAAAAGTTTGCAGGGACCAAATAGAAATTTTAAAGGCCACGAAAATGGGCTACGGGGGCCGGGCACCTGCCAGCCCCCATGTAGCTCCCCCATGCATATAGATACAAATATCTAGTTTTGCCGATAGGCCCTTAAATGAGTGTTTCTAATTCCTAAATCCTATTGTACTAAACTAAACTTATTTTTGATTAACTTTTTTAATCACATTCTAAGTAGCTAGTTTGAATTAATAAATAATTTATTTTTTTTAAATCCTAAGTAGCTAGTAGAAATTTTAAAGTAATAAATGGTCAATAATATTATATTTTTTTATAAACATTAGGACAAGGTCAATTACATAAAACATACGAAGTAGAACGTGGTTTAAAGAGCAACATTATATTGATAGTAAGTAATTACGACTTTGTGGGTAATTACAAAAGCAAAAAATCTAGAGAAATAAACTATCAATACCATACCTTTCATCAAAAAAAAAAAAAAAAAAAAAAAAAAAAAAAAAAAAAAAAAAAAAACCTATTAATACTTATAAGTCCATAAGCATTTAATTTGTCAAACATTTTTGACAGGGTCCATTACGATTGACTAAATTTGCATAAATGGACAATATAGTTAAAAGCTGCGCACTTGTACTTGCTCTATATTTGAAAACTAATTCTTAGTCAACATTTGCACACTATACATGTGGGTTTGACCGTTTTGCTCAACTATACTATACGATAAATTGCTGTCTTTTATAAATGAAGAGGACATATTCTTCTTCATTTTCTTTAATATTATTTTTTATTTTATTAACATGATATTTATTTTTCTGAATCTGAAATGTTGAAAAGCTATAAAACTTAGTTTATTTGAATATAATCCT